ATCTTTATTGAAAGCGTGACAATGCTAACATTAGTATATGACAATTATTCTACTTGTTTGTACAGATGGATTTACAAGTGCTAAGATAGCAGAATTAAATTAGTTGGTTTAAATATTTTTTTTGGTCCAAAATCAAATGAGAACTTGTCAACTCGAATTCTATCAATCAGTCTGTAAATGTAGAAATAAGTGTAGAAACTCAAGCTTGACATTCAAGGCGGTTCATTTGCTGGGGAGAGATTTTTCAATATTTCTACATAAACAAAGAATGATATGATAATGTGTTTTATTACATGAATAGTATTACTAGTGATTGGTGTATTAGGCTAGACATGACAAGAAAAGATATCTGATTATTTTATAATAGTACTATTTTCAATCTTATGTTGCTGTATTCGATTCAATATATCAAACATGTTCTAAAAAACATTTAAAATGAGTTATCTTAGTTAGGTATATGAGTTAAATAGTGATAGTACGCTATTTTAGGAAAAAAGGTTTTTTGGGGTTGGCTTACTCATGTGAGATCGCGTCCCTTTGTCCTGACCATTATAGCACGTGTGTTGTCCAGGACATAAGGGATATGATGACTTGACGTCGTCCTCACCTTCTTCCGACTAATCACCGACAATCTATTCAGAGTTTCAAATTCAACTATGACGACTAAATACGAGATGTGCTTGTTGAGGAACTTAACCCAACATCTTACGACATGAGCGACAACATCGATGCACCATCGGTGGTTGTTAAAGGTTGCTTTCAAATTGTTTTAGGACCTGTTTGACATGTCTTTTGAGAAGTCAAAAGGAAGTATTGAGATTCAAAAGTTGCTTTTTGATCTCTTTGACTCATTTTATGAAAGTATTTTTTCTAATTTCAAGAACTTTTAAAGGAAGTTAGTTTAATGTAACTTCGTCTAAAAACACTTCCGAAATAGGAAATTCTTTTAAAAATTAATTTCTAAGCAAAAAAAATAAGGTAATTTCTTCATAAAACTCTTCTATAAAAAGTAAAAGACAAAAGTCATGTCTAACGGGCCCTTAATTATTTTGAAATTGAAGAAGTTATGGTCAAATGAACCTCGTCCAGTAAATGAATTGAGAGTAGATACATTTTTTAGTTTGCAAGTGTTATGATTTTACAGATAAAAATATGTACAAAATTTATAATTAAAATGACGTTACTATCTTTTTTTTCTTGAAATCTCACTTCAATAGTATCTGTTATCCCCCGATTTCAAGGTCTAAAGAGGCTGGGCCACGTGGCAGAACAGTCAATAAGGAGTCAAGAAGAGGGACAATAGGTCAGAAGTCCAAGTAAGAAAATGGGCCGAGATCCTGCCACGTGGCAGAACGGTCAATAAGGAGTCAAGAAGATGACCAATAGGTCAGAAGTCGAAGTAAGAAAATGGGCTGAGGTCCTTAATCCAGCAACAAATGCTTTCGCATTAATAAGCCTCAGCCTGAAGCGCTGAGGCACTACCCAATCCGAGGTTCTTTCAGGCTCGTTCGAAGCTCATGAAATAGATGCTGCCTCACACTAGATTCGAAGATCTTTTTGAATTGATTGATATGACGTCTGTAGTAAATTGTCTATAATTTTAATAATTGTCAGCCTATTACTAGAACGGCTGACCTTTAGTCAAAACATTAAATTAATGAGTGGACAGTGATGTGAAGCTTCGACTTAGGGGATGTCGCCACGTGGATTTGATCCAACGATCACCACGTCGGCTAGAACAGTATAAATAGTCACTCTCTGTATAGAAAAAGTGGACGGTGGATTGATGCAAAGAATATAAAAACACATACTTATACAAATACTTGAGATTTTATTGAAAAGAAGGGAACTCATATACTCATCATATCTATCATTCCACATATTTCATTATCATTTTGTTGAATAGGA